AACTTACTCTGGATTGAACCTTTCAACTTTTATATGCACTGCCACTATGTTCAAGAAGGAATGTTTCCTCTGATTTTGTTTTATCTTTGTAAGATGGAAACCAAACTATGTTCCCTGAATTTACATGCTAGCATCAGTGGCAGGTGTTAATTGTCACTAATGGAAGGAGAAAAGGGTTAGGTCAGCCAGTAGGAGGATTCATGAGTAATGGGTGGAGCTAATTTTAACAGGCAGGAGAAAGCAAGCAAGAAAGTACCTTCTCTCCCCCCCCCCCCCGACTGACACACACACAGGGGGCATTCTCATATTCACATAAAGACAGAAAAGTGCAGGAAACAGAGTATACCAGCAGCCCTGCTAAGAAACTGCCCCTGCAAACCAGTAACTATGAAAATATATTCTAATAATTATTTTATTTATATTGGACCTATTCTTAATACTAGGACTCAAGGCAACTTACAACATTAAAAACTTATATAATTCATACATGGATAGAAGTTTGCAAAAGGTGATATCACCTAGAACGTATAAATTGCCACAATCAGAACAGTAAAGACAAGACAGACAAAAGAACACATCAAGGATATTCCCAGAGGCCTGCTGGAACAGAAAAGATGCTGCCTGCCCCTAAAAGCACTGCAGGGAGTCCCCCTTGGGAAGGGATTCCCTGGAGGCCTCTCCTAGGCTCCCAGCAAGTGTGCCTGTGAAGAGACCAGAGACCAGCCTCACTGAAGACTTGAGGGAAGCGGCAGGCTTATAAGGAAAACAAGGCCTCTCGGATAGCCTGGCCCCTTTGAAAATGCAAACAGAACATTGCTCATTTCAGTAATATGGTACTAGGGACATTAACGCTTTTCTTAATGAAAGTTAAAGTTATGTATTCTTGTTGTATGATAGAAAACACTTAAGGAGTTAGCAACAATAAAGATGCCACACATTAAATAAAGTAGCCATACTGAAAAACAGTCCACTTACACAGGTTACTTTCCTGTAAATTTGAGCAGCATTCTGGCATTCTGAATATGGATATTCTGAGGTAGCCATTTCCAACATACACATTCCAAACGCATATACATCCACCGATTCATCATAGTGCTCTTCATACATTTCTGGAGCCATAAATTCTGGAGTACCTGAATACAAACAACAGCAACAAATCATTTGCCTCAGAAAACTGACTTGTGTGCACAAATCCTCCACAAGTCCTTTGCTCCTATACTTATAAATATAGCAGCTGCATTCTAAAAGATAAATCTGAATGACAATATACTGTGTGGGAATATACAATGAAAGTTCTACATTTAAAACTGGAGTAGTAAGACAGAGAATCTTAAGTACAAGGTGGATCCAAAGATGCAATTTTGCACGCAGAAGAGCACTTCTAGTAACCAAAGTGCTGTCCACTCTAATGGTCTGGTGTTGCATGAAAAAAAAAAAAAAATCTAAGGGTTTTCAGCTGCTTCCAGAACCACAAAAGCAGAAGCACTAAAATGGCTGTAGATCCTACTGATTATAGCATTGTATGCGGATTTTTATTCTCACACTAGTGTTTGCAAAACACGACTAGATACTATTTACTTTCTCATGGTTATTTGAACACAACTCACTATATTTCAAGTATGTTTAAGAATTCATTCATTCATTCATTCATTTCAATTAATGTATTTCTTGTGTTACATTTATATACCACCCAAAATCTGAAATGCTATAAAGATTAAACCTCTATAGTATACAATACAAAAACTGCATAAAAGGATTAACATTTGTATCTCACCCATGCTCCAAGGACCCCCAAATATCCTCTTAACTAACCTCTTAACCTTGAGAGTACAGTGGTACTCTGGCTCACAAACTTAATCCATTCCAGGACTCTGGTCGTGACTCAAGTTGGTTGTGAGCCAAGTTAAATTTCCTCATAAGGTTCAGTGTAAATAAGGGTAATCTGTTCGGTAACTATTTTTTTAATCAGAAAAATGTGAAGCAAAGTGACAAAGAACAACAAAGATCGCAGCCATCTCCCCGGCCCCTCCAGCACAACCACAATCGTGCCCATCATTCCTGCACGCTGGGGGGAGGGGAGAGACGGGTGTGATCGCGGGCACACTTGAGGAGGGAGGCAGGCATGAGCATGCTGTGGGGGTGGGGAGATGGCCGAGATCGCGGTTGCGCTCCTCCAGGAAAGACAGGCATGATCTCGGTCACCCCCCCCCCAGCACAATCGTGGCCATCTCCTCAGTTGTGGGGGGAGGGAGATGGCTGCGATTGCGGTCGCCATGCAATGTGGAGTTCGCGACCTGAGTCAAAATGTTTATGAATTTTTTGTTCGCGACCCAATTTGGTCGTGAACTGAGGCATTCGTGAGCGGAGGTACCACTGCATATCAGGACATATGCTATTGTAACATGACTGTTAAGCACTTCAAGTCTGGTAGGCCTTGTTGTTTCCTAAGCTACCACAGCCAAATTTCCATATGCCCTTGTCTGTGCTTCAGGCTTCTAATCCCAACTGTTCTAAGGCACAAGTGAACTCCACACTGGCTTTTAACAGCCTAGCCTCTGCCTCCTGAAAAACTGCACCTGTGCTCAACACAGGATCTTTTGTGGTACATGAGAATGATTAGAACAACACTACTTCTGGCAGGAACGGGACTCTTTCTAAATCTCTCAGTTCTCTGAAGTTAACTAAGTGAACTCAGAGTTGACCAACTCCTCACATAACTAAACTAGACTTCACTCTTGATAATTAGAATGTTTGCTTAGAAAAAGACATTACAAGAATAATAACCATTCTTGCCAGCATGGAATGTTTTTCCATGCTGAAGTCTAACACTATAGTTAATGTGTCATACTGGCTATCCTTGGTATTAATCACATTACATTGCAATTTTATCATTCTGACATGGTAAGAAGCACTATTCCCCTTGCCCATCTAATAAATAAATTCAGGACCACTGTGTAATACCTGCTTGACAAAAATCTGAGTCAATGTTAAAAAAGAGAAACATGCATTATTGTTTAATACTTTGCAAGTTATTTACAAGCATGCATAAATCCACTTTATGTACAAAGAAGCCAAACCACAAAGAGAACAGAAATCACACCAGTACAGAATAACTTCCATTAACAGGGCTTAGTAGTTCATACAACACAGTTTTGTGAAATAAGCAATTAATAAAGTAGCATCTACTTCCTTGGAGGCATGCAATTCATCAGAAATAGTAAAGTGTCCATAAAAAAACTATCCAGAAGAGTGCAACACAGCACATTTAGTAAATTATAGCAGCTAGTGAAAAATATGTCTAGCAAGTTAAAGGATCTGGGCAAGTGAGAGTCTCTAATACGTCAACTAACAAACAGAAATGACTGCATAAAGTATATATAATGATACAAAAGTGCACACATGTGAATTAAGTTTTAAAACATTGTTTATAAATATATTTTCTCTCCTGGACTTAGAAAAAGAAGTGAAATTCTACTTACTGAGAATATTTAAGTAGTTTATTAAAACTACTTAAATAAACAGTTACTGAATATTTAAATAACAGAACTGAATATTTAATAAACAGTTCTACTTACTGAGAATATTTAAGAGTTTTGGAATCTGAGAGACATATCTGGAGCCAACACTTCATTCTTTTCAGTACCCAGTCCAAAACCTTTTTATTTACCCAATATTTTAAGAGTTAATTATTTTATCATATAGCTAGAATGATTTTATTGCATATTTTTATATATTCCTATTTTAATATGATGTTATGCTCTGGTAGTAAGCCATCTTGAGATCCACTTGAATAAAGATGGGATAGAAATTTTTCAAGTAAATAAATAACAGGAATCCTTGCTTTTTTGGTTAATTATTTATTAATTAGTCCAACATGAGGTTGTGAGAACAGACCACCTCACAGAAGCAAAGGAAATGCAATTTACAACTGTTGCCATATCTTCCTTCACCCTTTTGCTTTATGAGATTCCTGGGTTTAGTTTGAACTTTATCGCTCTATGTAACACTGTTTCTCCACTGAAAAAAATGTTGAGTGGAGCAGTCTTCACTGTACACCTTTGTTACCTCAACTGAACATGCAGATAAGCCTTTGATAGCAAAATTCATAGACCCTGCTCCCATCATTGTCACTGCTGGCCAAATACTCATTAGCACTTTTGCCTTGCAAGAACACAGCTCAGCCAAGACCAAATTTTACCTACATAGAGCCACAGACCTGTTTTGCACACCCTGGCTAGCTACAGATGAAACAACACTGCCTCCAGTGCACTCATCATTTATGTTTTTGGCTCTGTAAAGAACCCAGAATTGCCCCATGAAAAGAACAACCCTGGTTTGTTTACCTGGTTTATTTGTACAATCCTGGTTTGTTTGCACAATCAACCATCAGATGGGAGGCAGTGTGCTGTCTCGCTCCTGCTGCACACTAGCAATCCATGGTCACATCCGCTCCGGTATAATGCCGGAGCAGGGGGCATTAACTCACAATAACTACAGCTTCTCCCATTGCTCCCCCTGCAGCTGGAAAGGCTGGGCCCAGAGCAATGAACATTCAGGTAGCACTGCCTGCTTGTCTCCTGCACTCTCCCTTCTCATTCTTTCCCTTCCCACCCACCCCCCCAAAAAACCCATTTTTTGTGCAATCAGGAACTTGTGCAAGTTCAGGAACCATGTGCTCCAGCTGCCAAACTCTGCTCTTTATTTGTATCTCCCCCTGCTCTCCAAAGTCTTTTCCCACAGTGGCTCTACACCTCCGGAATGCTTTGCCATCAGGAGTCTGCCAGGTCCCATCATTCCAGGCATTTTTATTTGTGTATTTGCTCTGACTTTCCTCTGATTATATTTCTGCAGCTCTGTTTTGGGTTTGTTATGGTCTTTGTTGCTGTTTTGAAAGTTTCCTGCTTTTATTATCACATCAGGGAGCAGGTTATTTGAATTTTATTGTTTTAAGCTGCCACCACCACCACCAGAAAGCACATTCCCTGAAAGGCAATTTAGAGATAAATTAAGTGAGTAATAAAAAACTCCCATGGATACAGGATCCATCCCAGATCTTGTTTTCTACCCCCTTTTGTGGAGACCATGAGGGAGACCAGCATCTATGGCCAAGATTCTCCCAGCTGTTCATCCATAGAGTTGGTAACCTCCCTGCTCTGGGCAATTCTCCTTGGCAGGTATGAAGAAAGTTCATTCATATACCAAGTAAAATTTTTGCAAGTATATTCATAACTCCTATCCTCTCCTTCCGTGATGCAATAAAATATATGAGAGCCTTGATTATTTCCTGTTATTTAAAAATCATTTAAATGTTTCTCCTATCATTAAAAATATATGTAGGGCTAAACAATGCCAAGTTTACAAGAGCTGAGCAGAGCTGTGAAGGACAAGTTCGTCTGGAGAGCATTCATTCATAGAGTTGCCACAAGTTGGAGACAACAATAATGTAACAGCAACAAGCAATGGCAAAGTAAGAAAATGAAACAGAAGCAAAGGAAAATGTGACATTTTGGGTATTTACAGGTTAAGCTTTTATTGTCCTGCCTCATACATGGAATTTTACTGGGCTAGTCATCTTTCACTTGTACCCTTCCATGTTTTCCCATTGCTTCCATTGTCTTCTCTTAAAAAGGAATATCTACAAAATGTCTTCTGATTGGTAGCACTCTAAGTCCTTCCTCTGGAAGCATCCCCCGGCTCCCACAATTCAGGATGACTAAATGAATGAAGTTTCCACCATTTCTGAAGATTGTTATTGATCTTTTGGATCATTGACAAATCCATTATTCCAAAGATAATGTTGACTGGCCAAGAATTTGATGCCAAGATATTAAGTAAAGTATACTAATAAAGGAAATCTTCACGGTACAAGGGTAGTCATTAATATTAAGACCTTGGATCTCTGCCTTATCTTCTTCAAGACTTGCACAAATCCTTTAAGTGTTCGTAACATTTCTTTAATTAAATTTGTAATCTTAATAGCTGCATTACCAGCACACACAGGCACCTCTTCTTTAAAGTTACCACCCTTTGGATATGTTTATTTGCTCTTACAGCAGCAGCCCATACTGCTGAATTGATGGGCCTTACTGCCAGAACAGTGTCTTTAGGAGTGTAGCCTAGATCATGATTGTTTAGGATTGTTTTGTGCTTGATTATGCAATTGAAGGCAAGCCACTCAGTACATTATTAACTAATTCAATGGAATAATAGTTATACCTTTGTGGTAGCTGATCAATGTCTGCTCGCTGTTATATCATGATTTGACTTGGGGGTAGATCTACTATTGTTCAAAGTGCTGGACTGGCAGGTCGTGAAAGGGACCATTCCTGTCTTGCCCCTCTAAGTTAGTTGCCAAATTCTGACATTCTACTCATTTCACTGGTATTCAAACACAACTAGTTTTAATTGAATATTTGACCCATGAGTATGTTACTATGTTACTGCAGTAAAAAACCCAATATAATATGCTAATACTATATATTAAATCAAATGATCAGGAAAGTGGATAAATCAGTAAGATCCCTGGAGATGTTTTGTGCAGTTGAACTCTTATCAAGGAATATTAGTTGGGGAAAATATATAATCTTAGCTTCTTTGTGAGTGAAGTGCATAGAAGATACACTGGAATTTGGTTATGATCCATTAAGAGAAAAGAAACACAATGTTAATAAGAACATGTCTAACTGAATCCACAGTAAAACTGAGTTTCTTCAAAAACAATGAAAACTTGTTCATCTATATTTGTGTATGTAGTATACCCAGCAGGTTACAACACAAATAAGGAAAAATGTTACCATTCCAATATGAAGATAATTTTTTGGCTTTAGAAGTTAAGACATAGATTTATCTCTTTAACATAATTTCCACAGAAATCATAAAACATGTTGTCTTAAAAGAAATTGAGGATCCATGGTTGCTTTCTGTTGTAAAAGGCTTACCTATTACACTTTTGGCAAATGAAGCTCTTTTGAGAGTTGCCAGACCTAAGTCTCCTATCTTCACAGATCCTGTTGGTCCAGTTATAAAAATATTGTCACATTTTAAGTCTCTGTGAATAATTGGTGGAGTTCTAGTGTGCAAGAAAAGGAGACCCTTCAGGATTTGCCGGCACCAGCTGCGAAGGACTTTAGGTTTCATCACTTTAAATCTCTTCAAATACCTGAAATAAACACAGACCAAATTAATGCTACATTTAGAATTTCAGATAGTAAAATAATGATGAAATTAATCCTTTAACAATATTATGGAATGTTTATTACTTCATACAATAAAAATTAATATTTCTATCAAGCGAATTGTGAATTATAGGAAAGCACCCATTCCATGGATGATCAGTGATAAACTGATTCATTCATGGCAGGCATTATTAGCAGGCATTAATTCTACGGAGTGTCCTCTTCATGCGTGTCTGTTCCATGTGTGCATTGTTCTGCTGATGCCATCGTCATGCTACCAAGATTATCAGCACTATAAACCTTTAATTAGTAAGGTTCAGATTCATAAAACATGTCAGTTTGTTTTCAATAAGCCAAATGCTTCTTTCCCTCCTCTCTCTTCAGCAGAGGTTTATTTTATTGTGGCTTAATAATAGATTGTGTGAAAGATGAACCAGTAGATTCCAAGTGCCTTGTGCAAAGCAGGCAAGAGCAAGAGAAAATGAGGACAGAACTGCTGGTGCTTACATAAGTAAAGAACAAACTAGAAATCTAGTCTTCAGCTCAATTAAGTTCAAAGGCAGACAGACAAGCTATTATAAGGAAAGCGGACTTCACTTCTTAACAATGGAAATTTCTCAGATAAAGCAAGTGCTTTGTCCTAATAGATTCTCTAGTTAAATAGCTATGCGTTGCATAATTAGTCTTAATACGTACGTTTTCAGGGTTCCAGAAGTCATCAGTTCTGTAACCAGTACAATACACTTCTTTCCTTTCAAACACGATTCCCAAAAGTCATAAAACCTAACAATGTTTGGGTGTTGAAGACCTTTCAACATCTCTGCTTCCTCCTTAAACCTCTGCCTTTCCACTTTCGTCAGCTTTCGGTCCTGCAGTTCAGAAGATAGTAGTCAGCTACGAAAAACTGGATTTGCTCCAAATATCCCACCCAACCACAAAAAGACATTTTCTATGACACAGGGGAGCAAGGGAGTTACTAATTTTGTCCATACCCCTGTAGCTCCCAAAATCTACTCTTCCAATGACCCTCTGGATTTGGTGTTTAGGGATATATGAGGACACAAACGGGATAAAAAATCAGAAGCACCCCCTGTGAAAATGGAAGCATCTTTCTCTTAAACATAGGATCTTTGGAACATTAAGCCATCATCTTCACCATCTATAAATAAGGTGAAAAAAGTTAATAAAAATGTCCATATAGGTCAACCATGATTACAAGTTTCCTGGCTTTATACAAGATCAAAGAGGTGAATAATGTGAATAAAAAGCAGACCATGCTTCCTAAAACTAACCTAATGTCATCAAAACTCAATTCAGTGGTCAAGATTTATAATAATGAAATAAGGACCTGATTATCTTAATATTTTACAATTTCTCGACCAGCATAATATATGATTAAAAGCAGAGATACTACCTTTATGAGTTTAACTTCAAAGAACTAAAATGCATTGCTATGTGTCCCTCCAGACCACTTGCGTGCCTTCTCTTAGTATTTTTACTGTCTCAGACTTTTCTCTGGATACAACCAGAAATATTTAATGCATCAGCAGTGCTGTATCTTGCTCAGCCCCAATGCTAAAATTCTTTCTTTCTGCATATTTACACCATGCTGCAATACCCCTTCTCCCTATTATATATTTTATATGCAAAAGCCTATGTCCCCCTGCCCCTTTAATTATACTAATTAAAAGTAATGGAACAATATTAACCATGTGAAGATTTCTTATTTATTTATTTATTTATTTATTTATTTATTTATTTAAATCATTTTTATGCCGCCCCATTCGCAAAAAGCCTTGGGGCGGCTTACAACAATAATAAACAAACATAAATAAGCAATTTATACAATTAGAGTTAAAAAACCGGAAGCATCTTGGCATATACCTAAAAATCCCATAAATACAATTCATAAGTTAACAAATAAAATAACTTTTAAATAAAAAGGTCTTGGCCTGGTGCTGAAAAACAAATAATGACGGCGCCAGGCGAACCTCTCTGGGGAGTCCTTGCCTCAGGTTTAATGTATTCAATACGTTCCAGGAAGTCTGCTGAACTTTTAATATGTTCAGTGAATGTTGTAAATACATTGATGACACACACAGTGACTAAGTTGGTGTGATGGTACAAAGGTTTATGACTACTCCTGCTGCTCAAGCTGAAACCTGTAGCTTAAATCTGTGAGAAAAGGGAAAGTTGTTCATTTGGCTAAGATAAACTCTTGGTATGAGTATCAGGAAAAAGTTCTGCTCTGTTTTGTTTTTTTAAGGGAATTTGAGGAGTATCAAGGACTCTCAAGAAGTAGTGAAGGCATGTGGCAAGGAAGCTAGAAATGAAGAGAGTAAGAGGAAAATAATGAAAATATAGTAAGAAGAAAGACATTGAATCAGGGCCACATGAGGAAAATAAAAAAGCAGCAGGTTAAATTCAACCTCCCAGTCCTTTTCAAATGTCACTGCACCATTTTGACAGTTCTATGGTGACAACACTGACCAAGAGGCAGTGGTGACTACAGTAGGGGTAGAATTTCACATACTGCCTTGCACTAACAAAAATCTGGATACAGGCTTCTACTGTTTTTAATGAGTGCTTCCTTCATCCATAATATATGCCTCCTGTTAAAAAGCTTCCATTCATGAATAAACCAAGTCTTAAGGCTGGTTGACCAAGAAATTCAATTTTCATTACATAAATGACACAGCTATAGTTGCCCATAACCTCCCAAACTTGAAGAATTATGGACATCCTATGGAAGGTAGAAGGAATGCAGAGGTGTCTACTGCTTGGCAAACCACTTAAATAAGTGTCTATGTGCATGTGTTTTGGAGAGGAAGGAAGGGGGAATGAGGCACTGCAAAGATGCACCTTGCACCTTGTGCTGCCTGTCTCCTTCCCTTTCCATTTCCTGGAATGCCACCAAACAGCACCAACCTCAGCGATACAGCTATCATGGTTCCTTCCATGCCAGCTACAAGTAATAGGAAGGTGCTAAGTGAAGAGTCCCAGCTACAAGGTTAGAGATTTTCCAGGCTGGCCCATAGCCACAGAACTGCACTGTAAACATATGCAAATTAAAACTCACCTGTTGAACTCTATAAAGTGTTTGTCTAACCATTTCTAATACCTCTAGTTAATTAATCTTGGGTAGACCAAACAAAGATGTTTGCCCGAGAACCTAGTTCTTTGGATTCCAAAAGAGCAGCCAACCAAGCTTGACATAACTTAGACTAGTGGGCCATTGGACTCAATCAAATACAGCTCATTATATCCTTTTACCTGGATAAAAGATCCATGGCAGCAATAGCTGATCAGCTGTAGAAGGGTGGCATATACCAGAAGTGGCCAAACAGAGTCTTGGGGGCTGCATGTGGCTCTTTGGATTTTTATTGCAGCTCACCACCCACTGTGGTAGGCACCTGCAGATGCCTACCTGCCACTCTCTGTTCCCCACCACTGCCGCCTCAAGCGGCTCTCAAACATCTGACATTTACTATATGTGTTTCTTCCTCTGAGCAAGTCTGGCCTCTACTGGCATATACTGTCCCATCAACTGCAGTTTGATCCCCATTCTCATGCCAAAGTAATTTTATATGGACATCCTGAATTGAAAACAGAGATGTAGTCTATTTTGTGGAGAAATTGGATCAATGCTAAACTCCATACTCTGGATCCGTTAACAGGATTGAATGAAGAGCATTTAATATTTTCAGCATCGCATAAATATCACCATCAAGTGCTGGGTGGCAATATACTCCATTCTAGTACTTTTTGATGCCCATATTTGGACCATCAACAATGAGAGCTTCAGCAGCTTTTATACTGCTACAGGGATTAACTGGTTCTTTACAGAAAGCTAAGCCTACAAAGCTTTGTATAAGAGAATTTTGGATTGTAATAAAACTGTTCAGAATGTTAAAGAGGAGCAGAACAGGGAACTGAAATGCTCTAGTCCATGGGTCCTCAAACTACAGCCCATGGGACGGATCCGGCCTGCCATGCCCATTTGTCCGGCCTGCAAGGCCACCCGAGCACTCGACACCCCACTTGCTGCGCGGGCAGGGAGGCAGTGGCTTGCTCACTCAGAGATGGTTTTGGACTCGCTGGGAGATCTCCGAGCGAGTCGCTGTTGTGTACGCTCGACGCCACCTTGCGCACACCCAGGTACACCCACTTCACTGGCCCATGCTGGTCGCCAACGCCTTTCAACTGGCCCCCTATTGAAAAAGTTTGTGGACTCCTGCTCTAGTCTCTATAGCCTATTGAGGGCAAAGCTGTTCTAGGTTCCATACGTACTGTTTCTATTGACTTGAAATTGAGATTGATTCAGCATAAACAACAACAACATGTGTCACGTATACCAGATATCACAGTGGCTTGTGGTTAGCTCTGCTAGATGCTGAAGCGATGCTAACAATGGTGCAAGTGGTCCGCTGGTTACAAGTGTCCCAGTTACAAACAACCTATACTTACAAACTGCCATAAAACCTATTAAGTTTTTTAAAATTACTGCAGGAAATCACCACCACCACAGAGAGCGAGGAAGCAAAAGGGGGGAGAGGGAGGCCTCCAGAACAAGCTTTCCTGCCCTGCCCAGCCCATCCAGAGCGGAAATCTCTCCTGCATTTCCTTGTGGCAAAGAGGCGGCACTGGTGAACTTGGGTGTTGGTAGGGCAGAAGTGATTTGTGGTTTTTCCACTTTCACGTGGGTCCTGTGACCCTAACACCACAAATGTGGAGGGCCAACTACATGTGATCCAACTTACATACAAAATTCGACTTAAAGACAAACTTCTGTTTTCTCAAGACTAGAACTTGCTCATATCTGCGGGACTGCCTATATAGATGGCCCTATGGTGGCCTGCTTTCTGGTACGAATGTTTTCTTATATAAATTTTGTTATAATTTGTTATAATTGCAGATGTCCGTCCATATATAAATTACAATTAAATGTTAAATTATATTTATTATTTAAATTATATTCCTGTGAGGGGGTATTAACAGATAGATAGCAAAAGTGAACTCTGGGAGTTCTTAACAGTTCCACAGAGTCTTACACTTCAAGTTGGAAAGGTAAACCTGAACATCCATCATTCAATATTCTGAAAATCATACTGCTTTTGCTGCATTAGTACATGTATCCTCAGTCATCAATTTCATCTGGATGCATATTTAGATATATGGACTGCTTATATTAATGTATATATTTTAAATTAAAGGGATTATTTTAAATCCTTTTCATCAATAGTGTTGTGAATAGTTGTTGTGAATGGATATGTATGACAGTTTTCTATTTATTCTTTTTGATATTATTTTCCTTTCTTTTGCTTCTCTTATAATTGATAATGATTTTAAAAATGGCATAGTTTATTCCTTCAACTAAATAATGAATTCTTTTGGATTAGTATTGAGACTAGTATTACATCAGTACATCAAATCCTATCAAAGACAGAGTGGTATAATGGTTATTTTAAACTTTTTATTCAAGGACAAACTTTTTTTTATTATACCATCAATTTATCCAGCTACTCAGAATACCTATACAAAATATCTACACACTGAATTGTTCATTGCCTTTTATCCCATTGGAAGAAATGCAAAGCATCTCCTATCATTAGTAAAGTGCTCACAAGTGCAAGATTCTTCATATTGTCCAAAATCAAAATGCGATTTGAACACTACAAGCCTGAACGGAAACTTGGTAAATGTTATATTTTTGTTGCCAGGTGCGTGTGGCAATATCATTTCATTTGTCAAAGGTCACGGAGGATGACAGTCCAAAATGTGGCACCACTGCTACTACAGCAATGCTTATTTTGCTGCAGGTTTTACTAAGCAAAATTAGAAGAAGAATTCAAGCCAAGGTTGCCTAGAGCAACCGTGGCAATTC